GACGTTTGTCTTGTCAAGGACCACTTAATTCCACTCGAATTGAGAGAAGAATTAAGACAAGAAATTTCCAAGTTAGAAAATGTAGACGAATCAAAAAAAAGATTATCATCCTGGAAGTAACAATCAAGTATTGGATTTAATTCACCCATCCCTTTATTGTTATCACTACGCACATAGTGTGCTCAAAGAAGATTCTCCATTTATTCTCGAATCAAATCCAGACATTTTGTGGATACCCACTTGGTTCAAAAAGCAACGTACACAGAACACCACTCATTTTGTGCAACAGAACTCCCAACATGAATCAGATTCAATCAAGGATCAAGCTGAGAAACAAAATCAACACTCAGCAGAAATTGACTTTGACATTACCTATGAATCCTACATTAACAATATTTGTGAAGTGAAACAAAAGAATTTGGCAAATGTCATTTGCAAAGTGATGTGTTATTTCGTACCCATGTGGGAACAGCATTACAGTATTCATTACAGTCCTTGTGACGTTACCTTTGATCGCTTTCAAGTCATTGTCAAAGCAGCCACAATAGTGGTCCATCCTGACAAACCCTATTATCCTGGAGGCACTTGGCACACAGAAGGATTGGATGAGAATATTGTTGCCACTGGAATTTATTACTATCACTCGGAAAATGTGAAAGAAAGTTTTTTGGATTTTCGTCAAAACTTAACAGATCGTGAACTGAGAGATTATGGAGCTCCAGAGGGCACACTTTCCTTTGAATTATTGGGAAGTGTTGAAACAAAACAAGATCGATGCATTGCATTTCCAAACATTTTTCAGCATCGTGTGAAACACTTTTTCCCTCTCGATCCCACTCGTCCTGCCATTCGAAAGATTTTAGTGTTTTTCTTGATTAATCCCAAAAAGCCCATCATTTCCACAAATGATATTGATGTTCAGAGATTGGACTTTTTATTGAATCGATGTATGGTGTTGTGCAAGATTTTGCCATTGGAGATTATTTATAGGCACATTTTGGATTTTTTTGCCTCACATGACGTTGGAAGAAGCTCGTGATTGTCGACTCGAATTGATGGAAGGAAGAAAGTACATGATTGAAGAAGAAAATACCGAGTGTGAGAGAATTTATGAAATCATTGAGAGACCTTATTCATTGTGTGAACATTAATGATACTACCACCACTACTACTACCGCGAAAGATCATCTCCTCAGTCTTCAAATTAATCTCCAAGATTTAACTGATAGCGAATATATTGTTTGATGGAATCAATATGAGATCTTTATTCACACATCTTTAAGTTTTTTCCACATTTATATTTACACTGCAGGCTGTGATTCTAAATAGACTAATTTCTCACTACGATTGCCAAAAGAATTTTCGACATTCACAACTTCGTGGGTAACGACATCGTCCAATGAAGATTCTTTGGGTTCGACAACGCCAATAACGAGCACAT